AGGGTCGCTACTACCTAAGTAAAATGATTTCGATGAGAAGATGGTTCGATGTCAATTTTTCCTCTTTTGTCTGATCCTTATCCATTATGTGTTAGCAATTCGAAATAAAAGTAGGCCGAAAACGGATTTTTACTTGAAGACGAATTGTGAATTGGTGAAGAGGGGAAAGAATGACTCCAAAGTATATTTCAAAAGGAAGGCGCGGGGTGAGGATTTGTGTTCGCGGGCATTCTATGACCCGCTAAGAGGGGGGAGAAACAACCGAGACAGCGGCGCGCTGCGCGCCACGAGCACGTTCGTGTCCAAGTACTACAAAATAAACATAAACGATGTGTACAGCTACCTGAATAGGAAGAAGTATGAGTACATAGAGACAGACGTGAAGATAACTCTCAAGTACTGCCCCTTTTGCCCGCCACACAAGTATAAATATGACAATATGTACAAACATGAAATTTTTAAAAACACCGGAAATAGTTACTGCCACAGGTGCGGGTATAAAGGAAGCTTCTACGATTTCAAACTAAAAATGGGAGACTTGGTAACAAGCAATTTCGAAAACACTGTTGTAAGCAATACCTATGAGGAGGAAAAAATAACCTTCAACGATGTTAAGGTGTATAGCATGAATCTGTTGTACTCGAAGGAGGCAGAAACGGCAAGGAAATATTTAATCGAAGAAAGGAAGATAAAATTAGAAACGCTAAAAAAGTATTATGTAGGATTTTCTATCATGGAATTTCAGTCGCTAGAGAATTCAGGAACCTTTGAAAAACACGAATGCTTAATTTTCCCCTTTATAAGAAAAGCGAATGATATGAACTCCATGGGGTTAAATGGAAATAAAAACAACACGAATGAAAAAGACTCGTACCAAATTGTCCGAATAAAGGTAAGAAGCTTAAGGGATAAAGGATACATGAGATTATACCCCAAGAATGTGAAAGACGAAATGAAATTATTCTTTTTTGGAGACCATTTGGTTGGCAATTCCGAAGAGATTGTCCTAACGGAAGGGGAGATAGATGCCATGACGGTAAGTCAGGAGACGAATTATGCCGCCATTTCTCTGCCTAATGGTTCGAAGTCCCTTCCCATATATTTGTTGCCATATTTGGAAAGGTTCAAAAAAATACACCTGTGGCTCGATTTTGACAAGGCCGGGAAATCCAGCGTCTTTAATTTTGTCAATAAAATTGGGCTAGGGAGGACGAACGTAATAACCGATGCGAATGTGCACTATCTGGATGAACAGCTCTTCGAGAGAAAGAGGAAAAATTTGTTAACCAAAGGGGGTCTTCTCTTACCCCTAACAGTTGCTGATAACCCTATCGGCGTAGCGGAGCAGAAAAAGGGTGATATTAAAGAAGATACGCCAAGTGACGAAAAAAATGGGCACACAGAGGGCACGGAGGATGGAAAGGGCCCGAACACATCTGTAGATCCCATGTCAGGTACAAACAAGTCAGATTTGAAAATAGCCGAAAAGACGAAAAATGAAGGTGATAGCAGGAAGAATCCCATTTATGGTGACACGGGAAATACCCAAGAGGAGGCGCAAAAAAGAGCAAGAGAAGAAGGTAAAGTACGAACATTCCACTTTGTACAGAACAATATCATGTATATACCAAACAATATCGTTGTGAAGGATGCCAATGACTGTCTAAAGCACAACATAGACGTACGATTTTTTATAGAAAATAGCGAAAAGGTGAAACATAGCCAAATATTAAACTTCAATGATTTGAGACAAAACATTTTGGAAGAATTAAAATATCCGGATCGAATAAATGGAATTAAGAGTAAAACTATTCCATCGTTGAATAAATTTCTATATGGCTTACGCATGGGAGAATTATCCATATGGACAGGTCCAACAGGGGTAGGAAAAACTACCCTTTTGTCCCAACTTTCGCTAGATTATTGCATCCAGGGGGTGTCTACCCTATGGGGGTCGTTCGAAATTAATAACATAAAATTAGGAAAAGTAATGTTAAATCAGTTTTGTGGAAAAAACTTAGAAAAAAATATTGACCTATTTGACCTATATGCAGATAAGTTTGAATTATTGCCACTAAAATTTCTAAAGTTTCATGGAAGCACAAATATCGACCAAGTTTTGGATGCCATGGATTATGCAGTCTATGCCTACGATGTGAAGCATATCATTATTGACAACTTACAGTTCATGTTAAATATAAATAAATTTTCTGACATATATGAACTACAAAATATTGCTATTGATAAGTTTAGATCGTTTAGCACAAATAAAAATGTGCACATCACTTTGGTTGTTCACCCAAGGAAGGAGGACAACAACCTTCTCTCCATTGCTTCCGTCTTTGGTAGCGTCAAATCTACACAAGAAGCCGATAACGTGTTTATCATTCAGAGACATGTGTCTAAAACGAATGAAACTGTTTTTTTTATAGACATTAAAAAGAACCGATTCAAGGGCAGCTTGGGGAGAATCCCCTACCTCTACAATAAAGAAAATATGACCATCAAGGAGATGTCCATTGGCTACTTAAATGATGCCATTTCGGGTAGCGCCTACCGATCCACTGGTGCCACCCCTTCTGCTAACACTTTTGTGCCGAGCGTTGGGCCACTTCCCGATGGTCCCCCAAGCGATGGCCTAGACTTCACGCTTTGTGATGAGTACGACTATATGAAGCAGTTAGCCGACGAATACGAGTCGAAGCACGCAGTACGCAGGTATCGCCTTGGCGCTGATGGAAGGGTTAGCAGTGTGGGGAGTGGAAGTACGAACAGGCCTGACGCTTCATCATCGAACGATGCCCCAAACCAAAGTAGGGACAGTAGCGGGTCGGTGGACTCCTCGCGCAATAATCAAAATAAAGATAACAAGTCAGTCAACCAAGTAGGCGGCGCAGAGAATGACCCTACGAGAAATAACTGCTTAGTTAGTCCAAGCAGCAAGAGCGAAAAAGGAAGCATAAAAAACCTATTGAAGGGAGTCGACCAAGGAAGCACAACAATTTCTGTAGGAAGAACTCCAAAAAGTGAAAAACTAAGTGGTGATAGCATTCATGTGGCCAACCCTGCTGACCCGAACGGGGAGAAGCAAGAAGCACCCTCAGATGTGTCCAAGAAAAATGTATCATCCTACCGATTGAGCACTGAAGGGATAATAAAACTATGCGAAGAAATAAAAGACAACACAAATGAAAAACTAAAAGATAGAGTGATAACCATATCCATGAGGAACTGTGTTATAAATAAAGATTCAATGATAAAGGACATTCGAAACTTTATAAAGACAAACAAGTTAAACATAAAAACGGCTGGGAAGAACCTAAAAAAGGTAGATGTTTTTATTGCCATTCTGCAGAGTATTCCGAAGGAGTACATAACGATTACATATGGAGGAGGGGACGTAGAGAAAGAGGATCCGGACAACAACAGTGTCAGCAACACGTGTGGTGAAAATGTAGAACGAGGCAGACTGAATAGCACCCTCGCAGGAAATAATAACAATGTGAACATTGGGGGAAGCCGTTCCAGCGCATTACCAATTAGGGGGGCCACCAGGAATAATTTCAACATTGTTCCGACTGTGCAGGAATTCTGTGCGAACAGCCATAACATTGCCCATAGTTCAAGTGGTTATCCGATTGACCCTCAAAAAGGGGAGGCCAAATCGGGACAGCAATACAGTGAAGATGATATAAAATCGGTATACGGGGAGGAAGTTACAAAAAGGTACATCCAGGACAATATAATCAACGTAGATGACAACATTGTTAAGCGGAATGGCACATTCAAATTGGAAGGAGACAACAAAATGGTTAGTAGCGAAAAATTGGAGTACTACGAACCGGTGAAAAAATTCGACGACGATATTGAGTCGAGATTTTTTCTCATAAATGACAATAATTATAACGAAAAGGTTAATCTTATCTACAAGAACGTAACGCACTGCGGATTAGACATTGAGACAACCGGGCTGGAGGTGTTTGACGAGAAAATCCGCCTCATCCAGATCGCCGTGGAGGATTACCCAGTAATCATTTACGATATGTTTAACATCACGAAGGAGAAGATCTTGACTGGCCTACGAGAAATCCTAAGAAATGGACAAGTGGTAAAAATTATACAAAACGGAAAATTTGACGCGAAATTCTTAATGCACAACAATTTTGAAGTGGAAAACATATTCGACACGTACATAGCTAGCAAGCTTTTAGACAAAAATAAAAATATGTACGGATTTAAGCTGAATAATATTGTAGAGAAATATTTAAATGTAACCCTAGACAAGCAACAGCAAAATAGTGTATGGAATAATTCGCTGCTGAACAATAATCAACTGTTTTACGCAGCAAGAGACTCCAGTTGTTTACTCAAGTTGTACAAAAAACTGAAGTCCGAAATTTGTAGGGAAAATATGAGAACTGTGAACGATATTGAAAATAAGTGCATTTTGCCCATTTGTGATATGGAGCTTAATGGCATCAAGGTGGACCTGGAGAGCTTAAGCAAAAGCACGAATGAAATTTTAAGAGAATTAAATGGAGAGACGAGCAAATTGAAAGCAGAGCTGAAGGATGAAGAAATTAACGTAAACTCGCAGCAACAGGTGCTAAAAGCATTACAAAATAATAACGTGAGGGATGTTTCGAATAAGCTTATCGAAAATACATCGGACTCAAATTTGAAGAACTTCCTCAACCATAGGGAAGTAGTCCTATTAAGAAATTACAGAAGATTGTATAAGCTGTACTCCGCCTTTTACTTAAAGTTACCACAACACATAAACAAAAAAACGAACAAAATACACACGACGTTTAATCAGTTAAAAACTTTCTCCGGCAGATTTAGCAGTGAGAAACCCAACTTACAGCAAATCCCAAGGCAGAAAAATATAAGGGAAATTTTCATCCCCCAAGAAAACAACATATTTATAATCGCCGACTTTAAGCAAATTGAGCTAAAGATAGCTGCCGAAATCACCAATGACGATATTATGCTGAAAGCGTACAATAACAACATCGACCTGCACACACTCACAGCTAGCATTATCACGAAGAAGGCCATACCTGATATAAATAAGGAAGACAGACACATTGCCAAGGCCATAAACTTTGGCTTAATCTACGGAATGAATTACGTCAATCTGAAAAATTATGCAAACACATATTACAACCTAAATATGAACCTTGATCAATGCCTTTATTTTTACAACTCCTTTTTTGAGCACTATAAGGGGATATACAGATGGCATAATCAAGTAAAACAGATGAGGGCCTTAGAGTACTCTACTCTTTCCAACAGGAAAGTTATATTCCCCTACTTTTCCTTCACCAAGGCGTTGAATTACCCAGTGCAGGGCACCTGTGCTGACATTTTGAAACTGTCCTTAGTTGAGCTGTATAAAAATCTGAGACCCATCAATGGGAAAATCATCCTCTGTGTCCACGATGAAATTATAATCGAGGTTGACAAAAAATATCAGGAGGATGCCTTAAAAATCCTCGTGGAATCGATGGAAAATTCCGCTTCGTTCTTTTTGAAGAAAGTCAAGTGCGAAGTTTCCGTGAAGATTGCGCAAAACTGGGGCTCCAAGGAGTAGGCAGGGGGGAGAATATGTGTCAAAAATGCCCATTCAGGGGTGTACCCCTCCTTCTTCTTCATCTTCTCCTCCTCCGCATCTCCCCTATTTGCACATCGTTTTTCCAAACACGGAGGCAGAACATGTGCTCAGCTGGTGTTCACTTTGGAGAACCGCTTTGCCAGACGTACAGTAAGTTGTCACGGCCCAGAGAATAGCACAACGAATGAAATACAAAATTGAATATAGTCGCGCAGGAACGCTTCCTTAGGTTGTACATACTTACGCAGGCTGCACTTTTATAACGAACAAACGAAAGTTTTATACAAAAAAAAGGGAAACAGGGGGCAGATGAAAAAGAGCATGTGCGTCAAAAAAGGCACGTATGTCAAAATGGCACTGTGTCAAAACCGCCACGCTGCTATTGCTGTTATGGAGCCCATTTTGCCGATGATTGACCCCCGTTTGGTAATCCTTTCGAAACATTTTCACGAAAAAAATAAAAAGGATGCCCCTTTACGTACGGCTTGGTGAGAGGGAGTCCGTCCAAATTGTCACATGTTTTTTTTTTCCTTGTAGGCATTGTTTAACGCTTGGAAGATCATCTCTGCTCTTAGCTGCACGTAGGGAAAAAAAAAGGAAAACGGGATGGAAATGGCATAGAAATGGCATAGAAACGATGTGAGTGCAGATTTACACATATCAGGAGTGGCCACGCACGCTTCTATGCATGTGTGTACACCTGCTGGTATAGGCAAAAACAGTCCCTTCTCATAGCACCTCCCTCTGCAACCCATACGCTCACATGTACACATATTTGTATTTTTCCATCAAATTTGTGAAGACTCTGGCACAATTATGAACCGTTTTCATTTTTTCAGTCTTAGCTGTTTTTTTATTCGTCCGCTGTGTCACGCGTTCTTGTTTTCTTTATTTTTTTTATTAACTCCCGCCCGCATTGTTTGAGCATGGTTCTTAGCTGCCCATCGTGATTGGCTAAGCCTATCGATTGGCTAAGCCTATCGATTGGCTATGCCTTTCCATTGGCTGTGCCTTTCCATTGGCTACCCCTTTCGATTTGCCACTCTTTTCCATTGGTTGCCTTTTTTTTAACCGTCTTACACTTGTCAAACGCTTTAGCATTCCATTTTTTTGAGTTGCTCACATTTTGACGCTACCGTTTCCTTTTCCAGTCGATTAGGTAGCACTGCGAGCTGACAACCACGGCGTCACATGTGCGCAGCACGCGGAAACTCACCCTTTCGCACATATAAATGCACTCACACACAGACACACGCATATATATATACACAGATATATACATATGTATATAGGTGCTCCCCTCGCACCTTACCACACGCTCCACCGGTTTGCCCCTGTGCTTGTCCGGGTGGCACAGGAGTATGGCACTTTTGTACGCTTTCTTCACCGTGGCCGAATTGGATATTAACTCGGACATGGACACTTGTTTCCATTCCGATTCCTCCCACAAGACGTCACTTAAAGTGCTTAGCATGACCTTTACATCTTTGTATGAGTCATCCGAATTCTTAGACCATTTAACGATTTGTTTTTTAATGTGTTCAGATAGGACCACCTTTTCTTTAAACTTGGCTTCTTCCTGGCACCGAAACTCTTTTAGTTCCTTCAGCCGGTTACTGACGTTCGATTTGATGACATCCCGCCGTTCCTGTTTGTCCCTGTCGGGACTATTATAAGGGCCGCTGTTAGGTGCATTGTTCACGCTTCCCGTGGACATGTCTTCATACCCCCCTTGGACATTACTTCTGCCAGGTAGAAACAATTTCGTGGCGGTACTGTAACTGTTCTTTTCCAAAATAGGTTCACTCGATTTATTCTTACTTGGTTCCTTTTTAATGCTTTGAAGAAAATTGCCATCTTCTGCCTTGCTGTTAACCTTATTTTGGTGCTGCTTCTGTTGGGGCCTCTCCGAGCGGTGACCCTTTTTGTATGTCGCTTCACTGGGAGGGTCGTTTCGGGAATACTGTTTATGAAAAAAATTCTCCGAGTCGCCCTCCAGCTTATGTGTGTGTTCATTGTTAGTGTTGCTACTGGGGATGCTGTCCCTCTGATTGGAGGGGTCCTGATTTGTCAAATTGGCACGAGGCGATGTTTCACTCACGTGTTCGTCAAAAGGTTCCTCTTTTCCTTCTTCATCATTATCTGTGCTATTCCTTTTGTCCTTCTCTTCTTCTCCTAATACAGTGTAGGAACAGGGGTTTGTATCATTCAGGGTGTAAATCGGGCGGGCAGATTCACAGCACTGATGATTTTTAAAATAAATATCGGTGTACTCCCTATAATCTTCATTATTAATAAATAACACCTTTACAACAATGTTTCCATTGTAGAATGGGATGTACGCCTCTTCGTTGGTTATGTCCAGCCATAGGTGACTGAACTGATCTTGTCTTAATATATTTTTTATTTCATTTTCGTCCGAAATTATATTTTTCACTTGGCTTGCCTCATTTGTGTCTTCTTTCATCAAAGGCGCGTGGTTTACTATACCTTCGTTGATAACATCAATTAAATCTGTCACGGGGATTTTAAAGCGAAATACAATGTTGTCCTTAAAGGGGAAAAATTCTTTAAACTCCTTTAATTTTATTTTGCCGCAGATTTTAAATGGCAGAAAAAATATGTTCGTGTCATATGGCTGATTTTCATTTTCGCCTATCACTATATATGTGATGTAATTACATTCTGCAGTTACACTTTTCTTTCTTAGTTTGCTATTTACAAAGTTCACGCCCCCAATGGCTATTTGCTGCAGATTGGAAGCTATCGAGAAGAGATCCATCTGGGCGTTTTCTCCTTCTTCGCATTATTCATCCGTCCGTCGCGGCATATGTCTTTACGTCCCAGCATGCGTCTCACTGTTACTGCATATGGCTGCTCTCTTCACCGCGTAGCCTTCCTTTTTTCTTGTGTTCCCCTTCATGTATCACGTGAATACCGCTTGAATTCTCCCTGATATGCTTTCTTTTTTGCCCACTTGGCCACAATTTTTTTTTTAATTGCTGTTTCTTCTTGTTTGCCTTTAAATTGGTTTTTTTTCTTTCTTTTTCTTTGCTGTTCTTTTCTCTGCTTTTCTGTACTTTTCTCTGCTTTTCTGTTCTTTTTTCTGCTTTTCTGTCCTTTTCTCTGCTTTTCTGTTATTTTCTCTGTTTTTCTTTTCTTTGCTTTCCTGTTTTTTTTTTTTTTTTCCCTATCGGCTTTCCTTTCCTCGTGTCGGCTGCTCCCCCTGCTCTGACTTCCTTACCATCTTAATTCTTTATAACAAAATAGCATAGTGAGAAAAAGTAATCCTGAATAGCTATTTTTCCTTCTATAAAATTTGTAAGCATTCTCCTGTTTTTGTCGAAAAAAATGATAATTTTTTTTGGTGCATTCGCCATATTGAATTGGATTATATGCACCAAATTTATCTAAAAACACATGCCACTATTTGTGAGTTCTTTCCAAAGAATGAAGTTCTCGCGTGGCATTAAAAGGAACAACCAAATGGATATGTGGAAAGATGAACAATTAGTCCAAGCATGGTGAAAGTTGTGCAAATGTTTAAACCTTTGACGGGCGCAATTAAGCTGTAATAAAGAGGTTAGCAGCAGTTCCGTGAAGCGAGCATGTCCACGTACACATGTGATGTATGTGCCTAGGTATGCTGGCAGGTGGATTTACCTACGTACACGTAGTTACATCTCACCACCATTTCCACAGTGATGAGAAACCGTTGGCGACAGCGCCATTGACGTGTGTACAAAATGATTGCAGAGATGTAGCATTGTGGTCTTGGGTGATGCGAAAAAAAAAAAAAAAAAACACAAACGTGAAAGAGCACTTATGTGTGTATAAATTATAGCAAAAGGCGAAAAGTATTAAACTTCGAGCGTTCTGCAATTACTCAGTTACTGAATTACGCGGTTACTCAATTATGCAGTTACGCAATGTGTGCAATAGAATTAGGGGAAAATTCAGGGGAGTGTAAGAGATGGGAAAAGCAGATGGACGAATGGTCCAATCCTACAAAACTTGGTGCTTATTTTTTCCATGACAATCAGCGATTGTGGGGCTATGCCCCCATACGCATGTGTAGGTGTAAGCACCTTTTTTCCCTGTGAATACACAAGTGAGGCTTTTTTTCCCCCGTTTGAGAGCTCCTTCACCAGAATTTGTATAAGAATCAGGGCTTATAAGAGGACCTCCCCTGTTGTGTGAAAGAGGGCTGGCAGCGGTATCACCAGAATTGACATTGTGCACGCGATAAGCTCAAATTAGTGGCAAACAAGAAAGAATTATAAAAAAGAGGTTCACGTAAAGGGGTATCTCGAATTGCTTCTTCTATACCGATATGCTCATGGAGTTATAATTGGTGAACTTTTAAATTAATGAAGCCACCACACTTTCCTCCTGGTGGACAGCGAGGGGTGGGTGTCGAGGAGAAAAAAAGAAAAGGGAAATGAAAGGAAGCGGGAGAAAGTCAACACAAATGGAAGGAAAGCGAATTTTAGAAAAATCCTGCAAACGGACACAAAACACTTTATTATTATTTCTCTTTTATAACAATCTGTTAAAAAATATATGCCACACGCGCTACGAAGAGTGTATATTTAAATATCCCGCGCAGGAGAAGCAAAATATAGATTTTTTTTTTTCTTTTTGACACATTTTCATGACATACATTTTGCATAGCATTGCGCTTTTTTTAAAGCCGTTATGGCTGCCCTCTTTGTTCTTAAGAGAAAACTAAGGTGGTGTGTCCCCATTTCACTTTTCCGATTAATCATGTTATGCCCGTTTAATCCCACAATACGTAAAGAAGTGTAAATGTGCACATATTGTAGATGTGATATGAAAATGGCACATCACTTTTCTATGTGGAGAAACCATCGGCGCCTTTTCATGGTGACCCTCATAGGGCATTTTGCTGCGTGCGCATTCAAGTTAGCGTTTGTGCTGCATTTTCTAAAAAACAAACCAATCAGTGTTTAGCTTAATTCACGTATTTGTAGTTGCATGGCCATTGGTCGCTATTTTTGTACATACGATACGTACGTGGGCAAACACGTGTACAAGATTTGCCACACCGCATAGGACACTTTTGGTTTCATAGAACATGTGCCTTTTTGTTCCTTGTTTTAATAACACGCACCGCTTTAGTGGCAAACACGTTTGAAGCTGCACAAAGAATTTGCAAAGATGCGGTAAGAACAAAATGAATGACATATAAAAAAGAAATACCCTTTGGGGAACATCATTTAGCCAATAAAGAGGTGCAGGTGAAAAAAAAAAACAACTTTCTTCTTATAATTTGAAAATGTAGAGAGCCGGGGAAGTTTAAAAACGCGTAAACGTTAGGCTCAACTTGCAGAATGGGCATATTATTCTGAAGGCAACATATGCGGCCTACCACACGTTGTGCCTGTGGTCGTGGAATCATTACATAAATATGTAGCACTACATATTGCGTGGTGCTACATAGCTCTACATGCTTTATCCGCGCTTGTGCCCCCACAACTCAACACGTAAGAAAAGCACAACAGTAAAAAGGGATGTAGCAAAAAAAAAAAAAGGATAACAAGAAGGAAAGGCTGCTTTTGCCATACGTCTTAAAAATAATTTTGCGTTTGCCAATTTTGTGATGTCATCGTTTGGTATATCATCTGTGGACCTGTTTTTATTTTCTCCCCCATGTGACGAACATTCTTTTGTCCTTTTTTATCCCACTTTTTTTTCTGCCTAAAGCGGTAAGCAAAAAAGTTGCAGCGGTGGTAGTGGTACATGTGCGTGTGGGTAATTGGACGTGCCAAAAAGTATGCATAAGGAAATATACGAGTATGTATTCTTATAATATATTCACAAATGGGGTTAAGTTATGAGCGTAAATTATACGCACAAGGAAAAGTATATTCTGTACTTTTGTATGCATATCGCATATAGTTGGTACAGTTTAAAATGCCCATATAAAAAATGCGCTACGCAAATGTACGCTTTATTGCCGTTAAAATGTTTAATTTTTTTTTTCTTTAAATCTTCCCATTTTTATGTACAAGATTATTTTTTCTTTTTTACCGACGCATGAAATAATTTGTTTAGGTTAGGTAATTTTTTTTTCTTCTTTTTCATCTTTCCATTTTTTCACTTTTTCACGTTTGTGAATTTTTTTTTTTTTTTTTTCCTCTTTCCTTTTCCTTAAATTTTTAAATTTCAATTATATATATGTATACTTTGTGAACAGCCAAAATATGTATACCCCCTCCCCCTACCCTGTTGTGAAGTGAACGTTTTTGAAAATGGATAATTGCTGATTTTTTTTTTAACTGTAACGTTTTGAACGAGTTCTAAAATATGTAAGTGTGGCGTGATGGTACGGTATGTACGCCATGTATATAACAACCTGTGCACGCGATCTGTACATATGCTGCGTGTATACCCATGCGCGTCATTTCATGTTTCATACGCGCGATGAGTAAAAAATTAAAGGAACCAAAGAGGGGAAGCATAATTTCGTCTAGAGGCATATATGTTGTGCGCCATACCTGCGCACTTCATGTATGCAGTTAACACGCATATGTACGTGTTGCGTTAATGTATCTGTTCTGTGTACTACCCATATGCACATTTTGACGCGTACGACGTAGTATGTGTATTTGCAACCTGGACAGGCCAATATGTGTACTACAACGCGCTGTATGTATGAGTATATATACGTGTATGTATGTACGAATGTATGTGTGTATGCGTACTCAATGTTTGGGAGAAAGGTGTCCGAGGGGGAAACGAACAAGGAGAACAGGCCACACATGACGGTTTTGTGTTAATCCCAAAGCGTAGGTGTTGTACTGGGAATGGTTTTCTTTTCCCCCATTTGTCGTTTGTTATTTTGCCACTTCACCACTTTGCCGTTTTCGTCCTTTTTCCCCCTTTTTTGGTATGTTAATTTTTTTTAATTTTTTGCGTAACAAGGCTACACGGTGTGTACACCCTCGTTACGTGAACTTTTTTTTTTGTGACTTTTAACAAGAGGAAAAAGGAGAAGTACATAATTGGGAATCGCAGAGGTGCCAAGCAACAGTCATATATATACATACCGATCATTTACGCAACAAAAAAATGGAAAACAACAAATCTGGAGAAAATGCAAAATCTTTTCTGGATTCAAAGGATAAGAGAGGGAAAATGGATGACGATGATGACGACGATGATAAAAAAAAGAAACACGATAAGGACAAGCAAAACGGTAATCATAAAAATAGCCGAGGAACTGCCCAAAGGGAAAAAGATGGCAAGAACAATAATACGAAACGCGGCGGTCACGATGACGATAGGGGCCAGATGAATGGCGGAGGAAAAAATAGTGATAAAAACGGCGACCCCAAAGTAGGGGCCCCCGCGGACGATTCCAATCTCAATAATGATTCTGCCACTCCTATGACTTCCAACCCTCCTATGACGTCCAACGCTCCTATGACATCCAACCCTCCTATGAATTCCATTCCCCCGAAAACCCCCAATGTTACGAAGAGGAAGGAACGCAAAAACAAAAGCATTTCGCTGAGCGATACCAGCGCGAGGCACTCGAAAGACAAGGGCGATAAGGCGCAGCACAAACAGGGGAGTGCAGAAAGTGTAGAGAGGAGAAAAAGAGAGGCAAAAAATGTGAAATATGTGAAAGACGCAAAAAACGCCATTCACGTGAAGGACGCGGAAAAGGCGAAACACGAACACGGGGAGGAAGAAGAGCAAGAAGAGGAAGAAGAGGGAGAAGAAGAGGATGACACTGAAGACGACGAGGAAGACGATGATGAAGAAGACGATGATGATGAAGAAGAAGATGACGATGATGAAGAAGACGATGAAGATGAAGAAGATGATGATGACGAAGAAAATGAAGATGAAGAAAAAAGAAAAAGTAATGACATTAATAAGGTCCAATCCAGAAAAAAAGAAAAGCATCCAAAAAGTGAACCATTCAATCTAGACTATAGCAACACAATCCAATTTTACAATTTTCTAACTGATAAAAATAAAGAAAAAAAAGATAAAAATAGCAGTTCAAAGCAAGAAAGATACCGGTGTAGCAATTTAAAGAAGGAAAAAAAATTAAAAATGAGTCATACATATGAAGAGCTCCTATCGGATCATCATGATTATACGTCGTTAAAAGTAAATTATAAAATTAACAAAAAAAGTCATTACGATAAGACGAAAAAAAGACCACACATGTCCATATTCATAAGTGAAAATAAGGAACGTACTTTAAATAGGAGTAGTATCTGTACAGATAATGCAAGGTTTATAAATTTCCTAAATGATAATGAAAAAAATGCCCATTATTTTAAGAATCGAAAACGATTCAAGAGTAGACGAACAACGCAAAAAAAAGCTACTATAAAAATAAAAGGAAAAAATGAAACCAAAGAAACGTTAGACAATTATATACTAAATGTGAATGAGAAGAGTAAGTATAATGAAATAATGTCCAGCGAAAATGTAGACAAAGTCAAAATGCCGCTGAAGTATTATCCTGCCGGCAAAGAAACGGATGAGGCGTACGTAAGCGAATTACAAGATGCTGAACAGAAGAAACAAATGAAGGACGAAGAACGCCAAAAGAATTATGCAAGCACCGTTGAAGAGGAAAAAAAAATTATAAAAGAAAAAAGCAAAGTTAAATCTTCTATACAGTCTAACCGAAAATTTTCTATATTCCAAAGAAAAGCGTTAAGAAAAAGAAAGGAAAAAATTATTATTTTTTTAAATCATAATTATTCTGCGTGTGAAAATGGACAATTTAATGACCATTTTTACAGAACGATTCATAAAAATGATTTGGAAAATTTAGAAGAAGAAAGAATTTATATTGACACTAATAAAGAAAATACAATAAAGAAAATTATCTATAGAATCTTTCCTCAGTTTTCCATTTTCAGTTTAATCCTCTACGTTACTTTCATCCAATGGGTAATATTCATTCTGCTTATATCCATGAAATCTGATTTGACCTTAACCCCATCAAGTAAGGGCATTTCCAGAGGAAATGCGATTCCGCTTTCCCACTCCCCGACCAGTTTGTGCGGAGTGCGTTCTTCCAACCTGGATACGCAAATGCGCCCGTGTACTTATCCCCCAGCATGTAACAATTTTTTCGTTCTTTCCCCCCTTGCAGACGATTCATTAAAAAATTTTGGAAGCAATTTCCCACACAATATTTTCAAGAAGGCCGAATTTTATCGCCTTTTCACATCTCTATTTTTACATTCGAATTTTAACCACATTTGTGCAAATACATATGTTCAGTTAACCGTCGGATTCTTGTTAGAATATCTGTATGGGACATATGTTGTTTTTTTAGTATACGTGTTTACGGGTAAGGGCTTGTGAGGGGAGTGGAGCACTTGGCTGAGGAAAAAGGGGATTTTGCTCATGGCCGTCGTGTGTGTACGCGCGTGTTTTTATATAATTATACGTGCACACGTTTGTCGCAGAACATTTTGTGCAATTTACCTTTTCTTCCTCCCCTTTTTTGCAGGCGTTTTTGGAATAATTTTATCTTCCCCCTTAACGTACTGTTACTCGACCACCGAAAGCAGTAGCAGCTCCTCAGGAATTATTGGAATTTTTTTTTCAGAAATTTTAATGATGACAAATTTTAATGTGGATAAAATTAGCATTAGTATGCATTTATTTTGTTTTTTTCTCCTCCTCTTATTTCTTAAATTTTCTTTAAATACCGTTAGTATTAATATATACAGCCACTTTTTTGGTTTCTTGGGAGGTAGGCATTTTGAGAGTGCTCCCACGTTGAGCTCTGTTTGTTTAGCTCCCCTGTTGGCAGCACGCCACGCTTTTGACATACCCCAAGCTTAACGTTTAACGCTTCACACTTCTTACGCTTCACACTTCTTACGCTTCACCCCACGCACCTCCCCCTTCGTGCAGGCTTTTTAATCGGCATAATATTAAAGCGTAACCAACTCAAGTACTTTCTGAAAAATAATTTACTAATTCAAATATTGTCCCTGGTCTTCCTGATAGTAAGTTTAGCGGCTGCTATTTTCATATCAACCTATGTCGTGCAGAGTTGTCCAAATTAAATTTTCGAACAAATTAATTTCGATCAGCATAATTAACAAGAAAGTGAAACCAAAAGAGTAAGAAAAAAAAAGGATGGAACAATAGAATGGAACAAAATGGCTGTAAAATGACTGCAAAATTACTGAAAAATTACTGCAAAAATGGACTTCAATAAAACGTGACAAGAAGGAAGATACAGGACATGGACCGTAAGCGACAGGTTTATGTGTGTGCGATTTTGCTGTAAATCCTTTTTTATCGAGACCCCTTCCCCCCTCCCCCATCCTCTTCTTCTTCTTATCATAGGTGCGCCAATTTTTTTAAATGCCATATTATTTTTTAATTGACCCTTTCGATTTAATTTTTTTTTTTTGCGCCCAATGTGTACATTATTTATATATGTATGTATATACATATATATATTTGCACATGTTAAGGTAAAGATTTTTTTGTTCCCTTTCTTTTTTTTTTTTTGTTGAAAGGAAAAGATATTTTTGTCTTTATTATTATTATTTTTTTTTCCCCCATTAGATTAGAAAATTAACAATGTTCCTTTTTTATACCGTTGTGAATAGAATATGCTTTAATGTAAACTCCTCATTTGTATCTTTGGTATTTAAAATAATCATTATTTATTTATCAACATTTTTTTTAACTTTGGCATGGTTGGCAAGGAGATGTGTAACCATGACGCAGGTGTAATGGGGACTACATGATTAATATGTCCCATTTTGCTTACTCAATATTTCGCTCTTTTACTACACTGTTAACTGGACGCAATGGCGTTGTAAAGAATTACGCACGCACAGCATCACTCTAACTTCTTTCCTTCGCGTGAACAGAATGGATCAGTTTCCCTTGGCAACAAAATGTGGTGTAACATAATTTTCTTTAAATGAGACTATTAGGATGAAGTTGTACTTTCTTTTTTTTTTTTCTTTTTTTTTTACTCTTATGTTCCTTTTATCGAATGGAAAGGCTTCCTCGTTTTTCCGCATGTTGGAAAGAATTCAGTGCAACTTTCTTGCAGCCCACACACAAGAGGACAGGTAAATAATGCAACACACCTATGGGTGGGCCGACCTGACTACAAAGAGGTGTCTTGCCAAATCAGTTTAACAAGAAAATCAAATGCGCTAAAAATTAAGTAAAAGGAGTGATACTTAAGGTGGGTATGACAACTGTGTTCTGTAGCATTCTGGTACACATTTCGTTATCTTTATTTTTTACCTTTTAAATGGAGGGTTTCGGATCTTTTTGCGGGATGATCACGTTCGAGTGGGGCGATGGCCGACTGTCACCTTGGTTACACGACTGCGAAAAGTGGGACATTTTAATTTGTCTAACGAGGTACACGTAAATATATCTACACGAGTGGGTAGGAGGCACAAGGGGCAACATACCCACCTGGTCGGTTTCCCTCCATGTGGCGGATGCAACGTTGGCAAAAAAATTTATTGGCCACGTTTGATCAATTCCTGCGCCTTAATGGATGAACATATGCATAATAAGTATATGCATATTTCTAACCCGTTTGTGTGAAAACGGAACAAGGCCAAGTGAATGCTAAAGAATGAAGCAACAGGACCATTGCACGGTGAACATATGAATACATAGTACATACATTTGTGTATACCCCCAGGGGCGTCCACTGAAACACATGGCATATGCATTCCACATACATGTGTAACTGTTAATCGCAGGTGTTTCATTTTTTATCATGCGAAAGACTCCCTCCTCCAGAAGTGTTTTCTTCACATGCACATTTCTGAATGGATATTTTTGCAACTTGCCAGTAGGTTATTGTGTTTTTCATCTTTCATTGCTGAATGCATGTTCAGTTGCTCGTGAACAGCTTGGCCGAAGTTTATGATTTTTTTTTTTTTTTTTTCCTTCCCATCTTGGCGTGATGCTTGTTCATCGTTTTTGCTAAGAAATAGTCGCTTCTTTAGTTATTTTTTGGTACCTGCTTAAACTTTCTCCTAACTATTTTTGAGTTCCTGTGCGACATGGCATGGTTCGGGATGATACGCTCTGTTGCGATGCGATACGTAATGGCACGATAATATGGTGCTGCTTTATTTTTATTTTATTTTTTTTGTTTACCTCTGAAGAGGCAAGGCATTTATTATAACCTTTTTATAATGTGAAAAAAAACTACCCTCATGACTATGCGCATTTTTCTGTTAGCTTAGCAAAATTGGATCTCCCCCTGGCAGCACATCCATACATTTCGCAGCTCACATTTGATTTGGAGCTTTCTCCCATTCCACAAGAGGATCTGTGCAAATTATGAGTTTTGTTCTAACATGGAAATATAATATGCAAAAGTTCACTTTTAGAAGACAATATTTTCGTACGATATAAAATTTGGGGGGATTTACTTTTTTTTCGTTTGATTCTAGTACGGAAGAGTGAGCTCCGCAGATGGCCTAAATTGAACCCACGAGGAGATTCATAAATGTATACGGATGTACATTTACGCACATACGTACGTGCCAAGCGACGGATACTTGACTGTACCAAGTAACAGAGAGCGATACATGAACAGGACGTAGAGACCGTTATACCTACCGAGTGTATGAACGGGGTGGGGGGATGCAAACGAAGGCAGTTCTCAAAACGGCAGACAGATTCTCTACGCATCATCCCCCCAGCGCCACATGCAGACTGATATATGTAAGCACAGAAACAAAGTAACAACCATCCATGAACCCATTTTGCACATAATATTTAGTAAATAAAATGTTTATTATAAAAAGTAACCTACTTAATGATAACACGCTGGACACGAACGCAAAAAAAGAGCACATCAAAATAAACAAATTTTTAATCATATTGATTGTCATACTTAATGTGTTAAGCCTTATCTTTACGCTGCTGCTAGCTGTTAAATTTTACCTCTGGTAATGAACAAGGGAGGCGATTGTGTAAAAGGAGTCCCCCGGGTGCCTGCGCATGTGGTGATATAATCTTGCGCTGAGGTGGTTCTTTACGCACATGTGCATAGCATCGGAAGTAACGCTTTTACATGTTATCATTTCCTTTCCCCTTCCCCCTCCAGTTCCTATAATGTAACGGCTTTCCTGCTGCTCCTAACACAAACGTGTCTGTGGTGTTACTTGGCAATCCTGAACGTTTACGACCAAAAGTTTATTTTTTCCTTGTCCTCATTTTTGGGATTTCATTTATATACGCAAGTAAGTAAGAAGTAGTTTCTTTGGCCAAGGCGTGAACAAGTGCGTTGCAGCAATGTGGGCCTACACCGTGGTTTGTCAGCACGTGCATCTGGTTGGAGGCATGTACCAGAGTGCACAAATATGTGTACATATATATGTATGTGTGTATTAATGTATATATGTATTAACGTATATATGTATTAACGTATATATGTATTAACGTATATATGTATATTTTTTTCGTTTCCGTCCCCGCGCACACACCCCTCTGCAGTGCTACCAAAACTATGACAAATTATTCCTGTCGGACCAAATTCAAGAATACCACTTCATGTCGGTTGCCCTTTCGCACCTGCCTTTTCTTTACATTTGCTACGACATTGTCATATTTCAGTATGACAGTGTTTTTATAAAAAGTAATGCCGAGGCGTCATCTCTGTCTGGGTGCTACGTGCCGGATGCAAGGCAAAAACACTGCGCGTCGATTTGAGCTCGCAGACAAATGGCAAAACGTATGGATCCGCAGATTTGTAGACGTGCAGATAATTGTGTGGCACCCTTTGGGCCACTATGAGAGGACAGGGAGGCGCCCATTCTCCCATTCGAGCAACGGTGTAACTACCATAAAGCATCGCTTTTTCCTCCCTCCCCCTCTGCAGGCACGCTAGAGTACACCTATAATGACAGTTCCCTAATAGTCCTGAATTTTTTAAGGGGAATATTTTGCTCCCTGTCGATAGCAATCATTTTTATAATCTCCATGATATTAAACATACAGAACACGTTCAGGACGTATCCCCTGCTTAAGCTGTCCAACAGCAAAACTAAGAAGTACCTGTGTAAGACTTCACCGCTCGCGCACGGGGGTTTGAATAAGTGTGCTTCTGCTTATGTGCGCGTCTTCGCTTCGGGCCACTATTTCCTATGCATTTGTTACACTCTCTTTTGGCACACCCTTCCTGCACGCACTCCCCCCCACACACCGCAGTATCCGTGTTTCTGTTTTATCTGATCGACTCGCAAATAAGGATAGTCACATTTCTCTTCATCATAGAAACGTACGAAGTTAACCCGTTCAAAATATTCGTTTTTATATTCTCTCAGGTTGGCAGCACTTTTAGGAAAAGTTCAACAGTGCAGGCGAGCGCAGTGCTTGTCTGAGCAATTCAGCAGTTTAGCAGTAATGCAACATTTTAGTAATATATTTTTTTTTTTTTTTACCCCACTTCAGATTATGACCATATGCGTGTGCATTGCCTTCGATACGCACATTTTTAAAAACATAATTATCGGCATCTCATCAATTTTGGTGTCTACCCTGTCTATTATATTGCACTCAACGAACAGGTTAGAAGCAGACACGATGTAAAGCAAACAAATGTACCATTTTCCTAACTTCACATTTTGTCTTTTTTTTTTTAATTTAATGCAGAAATTATAGTAACGAGAGGGTGGTGCGACTCAGCAAGTTACTAATCAATTTTCGCTTTTTCGAGTTTTTTTTAATACTTTTTTATGGGTCATTATATTATGACGATGAAGAGATAGGAAATACCTTCATACTGTATATACAGTAAGTTGCCCCAGATAAAGTGGCTGTAAAGGTTGCTCTCTGGTAATTAATCGAGGGGGCAAGCGCGCTGCTCTGCGCTGCATTACAGCGCTCTAAATTGTTCTGTTTTTCCCGCTTTGTCTCACGATGCGCGGATTCTTATCTTCGCCCCTCCCCCCCTTCCTGCGTTACAGGCTCATTAACCTCATATTGCTATTCTTTCTCATAATAATATATAAAAAAGTGCTGTCTTACAAGAGGAAGTTTGACGAAAACGTGGACGAGCTCA